CAGTGCAATACTAGTACCCTATTATGTACATGTACAGTATACACACCAGGACCGGCAGAGAAATTTGACACGTTATTGCAATTGCTGACCTAGCTCAATCTATAAATTTTTCATGTATCCACAGGTGACTTATCTCCTTCCCTTCAAGACTTGATGGGTTTCTCAAATTTCGTTCTTCAGCAAATTTGCTTTCAAACGCTCAACAGTATGAGGCTTCCTGTTCGCTGAACATGCAAACAAATCACTGGCAGCTTTTTGTTGCAAGATCTTTTTTTCTGACATTAAGTTGCACTTTCAAAGCAAACAGCTTCTGTCCATTGGTTTTATCTTTCAGTACAGTATTCATTTGCTCTTCTGATTTCCACAGGCCGTTAAATTTGGATAGCTCATCAATCAGTGCTTCGCGTGATTCTCTTGAATTCATCTCTTTCTTTTCAGTTTTCTGTCGTTTTTCCTTCAGACGCTGCTGTCGCTGTTGCTCTATGTCGCGTTGTCACACTATCACACTGTTGAGCAAACCTTGTTTTTTGCCTGGCTCTACTTAAAAGAGCTTCCTCTGTGGATTTGTCATCTTTCTCACTGAACCAATCTTTTGTTGCATTGTTTGAGTACATCAGTTTTGACTCGCTATAGGTGATGTTGGCATTTGGGGCTATTTTTAGCTGACAGTCTAATATTGTCCGAAATACCCTTTCCCCGCTGATGTTGTTGCCGGTACAAGACTCCGCTTTCCTCGTGACTTCTTCAGTTGGCTTACTGTATTTGCCACCCGGAAGCTGTTCTTCTAACTGCCTTAGACAATCTTCAAGAATGCATTCAAACATTCTTTCCAACGGCTCGCATGTTTGTGCATCTGAGCTGGAGTCTTTAATCAGCTCCTGGAAGATCTCGTCTTTCTTCATTGGCACACCTTTGAACACAGCAGGTGCTGTTCCATTCACAATCTGATGTGCATCCTCGCTGAACTTTGTCAGTGCCTCAACTGCTTCATTATAGTACTGGTTTGGTTATAGGATCCCCAAATCTTGCTCAATGAGACGCATCCATGGTCCAGTCAAGTATTTTCCAACCAAGCCAAGGGCTCTGCATTCCACCAAGCAGTGCTCCATTTCGAAGTCATTCTTGACAGCTTTCAAGCACTCATTGCTGGGCGACCAAACCTTATTAATGAAGTCTAGTATATATGTGGTCTAAAAAAAACACCATGCGCCCCCATTTAAGAAATACACATGAAAACGATTCCCAACGATGGAACACCACACATCTGTAGATGGGCTTTGACCTCAGCAGGAAAACCAGCCCCATCTTTGTAGCAAAGCCGGCTGAGTGACTGCATCAATGCATGGGCATCACTACATCCTCTAGGTTTGAAGCTCATTGTTTTGGCCTCTAAGTTGTGCTCCTTTTCCCATTTTGTCACGCTTTTCTGCTGATTTGGCAAAAGTGTCGAAGGGATGCATACCACAATAAAAGTTATTTAAGGTGGATGTATCACCATCAGTTGTAACACGTCGTTGCTCTGCAAGCTTCTTGTTGGCAGCTTTATTTACAATGTGCCTGTCAGTCATAGTGTTGGAAATATTGTCAAGGATCTTCTGCTTGCCACATGATGTTCCAGTACATTGCAACTGGTGTTGATCGTCTCCACATAAAAATCAGCATCACCACCTGTCATCTCCTCGATCCCAACAGTGTAGGTCGAAGTCTTGGTTGAAATTTGTACTTCAGCAAAGTGTCTGCGTTTTTTGGTTGTACCATCATACTTTACAGTTGTCTCAGCTGATGACTCAAGTTCCTCCCCAAGTTGAAATTTACTAAGTTCCCTCATTTCAGGTATCATGGTCTTGCAAGTGCTTTCATCGGGTAGCTTACCAAGTTGCTTGCCAGTCAATGTTTCGACACAGAACTTGATAACTAGAGTTGTATTTTTGGCAGCAACCTGTCGACTTGCACAGAATACACATTCCCTTACTGCTGATTTGTAAGTTTTCCCATTGTGCATAGTTGGTATTATTTCTGATTCCTGCTGTTTCAGTTTCTCCATCAACTTTGTATTTTCAAGTTCAATTGATGCAACTCTCCCTTGAGCTTGACTTAGTCTCTCTTTAAGATGAGATGAATCATTTACTTTTGAGCACTTTTGCTTTATTTTGATGCGGTGGACTGCAGTGCGCTTCTTTCTTTGGAGCCTCCTTACTTGGGCCTGAAGATGGCTGACTTTCTTCTGTAGCATCTGTTCTTCAATTTTGGCTTGTTGTTTTGCCTGTTCTTTAGCTTCCATCTTCAGCTTGGTCAGTTGGCTTTGTTTACGTTTGATTGCCTGCTTATACCTGCTTACAGATTGTTAAAGCTCTGTGTGTTCTTTCTTGAGTCTTGTGATTGTCCTGATTGCATCATCTGCTGTTGTTTTCTGCACGTGCAACTCTTTTGCTAATTAACTGCAGTTTCTTCAAGAATGCAACACTCAGTGCACAAATGTTTTCTTTTTGTGGCTGTTTGGTGTTCTTTTGGATGTTCTGGGTGATGCTGATGGCAGCGGAAACGAACTGTTCAAGAAGTTTTCAAGTTTCTGCACTTGTGATGTACTTCTGTTTTTCTTCAGCCTCTTGGAGTTAGATTTCATTCCGTGCAGAGCTGAGAATAAGGTCATCTTTGAAGGATCAGTCCACATATTGTTGTCCTTAAACAGCTTTTGAATCCATTTGTAAATGTTTTCTTGTGTATGCCCTCTATCCATTAGACCAAGAAATTCAATTGCTGCACCATTTGTAAGACAGCTTGTCAGAAGGCAAGGCTGGTCTATACTTTTAAGTTTATCGATGTTGATTTCAGCTTGGCTGCAGTAGTTCCCTATGTAATTCATTTCTGTGCCACAAATAGGGTCTTGACTGATCTCTGGTATACTCGCTGAATAAAAAGAAAGGGAATAAAACAACAAATCAGTAATGGAACATTTTGTACTTAAGTACCACAATTGTGTTTTCGAATTATTTGACACTTTAGTAACAATCAAATGAAATCAACTGTTGCCAGCAAGGATGTGTTCAACCAATCGGAAATAAACTTAAATGTTATGCAAATTTAGAATAAAGTCTACCGCAGGCCTCGGCCTGCTTTAAAAAAAAATTAAAAAAAAACTAAAATTGGGCAGGGGTGGGTGGTTAACCCATTAACAACAAACTTGATAAAATATGTAGGGCTTTGTTTTGATAACAAAACCAAAATATTTTATGCAGATTTGGAATAAAGTGAACTGTATGCCTCGGCCTGCTTAAACACCAAATGAAAAAATTGGGCAGGGGTTCCCCTGCGGATGGTTAACCCATTAAACAATAAACCAGAAAAAAATAATTATGGATTTGTTATGAAAACGAAACCAAAATATTTTATGCAGATTTAGAATAAAATTAACCGTAGGCCTGTACTATTTTAGTATTTAGAGCTAGGCCATATTAGGCTATTTTATAAAAAAAAAAGTGGGCAGGGGTTCCCCCATGTTGTTGAACTAGGGCCTATTATTACCAATAAAAAAAAGAGAGAAAAATAGGTCTATTTATTGATAAAAAAACAACACACATTTTGTGCCACCCGCAGCACCCACTCGCCAAATTTTGCTTGTTTTCCAAATTGACAGACATATTTGAAGAAAATGTCGCTAAATTGTACTCACCCATTGTGGTGTCATGTACTGCAGAGCAGATTTGTGGCGAATTTACAGAAGGAAGAAGGCTCTAACTATTTTGCTGTAGATTATGCGCCGCGACTACGAAGTACGACATGCACGAGATTGCCACACAGCATGTGGGTTGCGTCGTAGCAACCGCCCGCTTCGCGCGCCAGGTAGACCGTCAACAAATCGTCCCAACATGCCCCAAAGTCTTCCCGCGTTTAAATAAATTTCGCACCGTATAACTCTTTTCAGCAATCATTTATATCTAAAGTAATGATGTTTTCTAATAAATAAACATGATCTCTATCAAAATAAAGCTTAATTAACAGAAAATAACGTTTTTTACTCCCAGAACTCACATGTCAAAAAGTTTGAGCAGACGTTCCGAGTCTAGTCAGAGATGCATTTGCCTACAGATAAATTTACCACCATTTTGTTCGCCCAGCTTTCTATTTTCAGTTCCTTGCAAAGAAGCCAGTGATTGGATGATGCAATTGCTGCAAACGACTATTTCATGTATGATGTAAGCCTTCCGACTTTTATCACAACTGCCGTAGGGTATTTTGCGTCGCCGATAGAACAGCGCCCTCTCGCGCCATCTTGTTTGGAGTCATTCACACAGCACTGCAGGCACCGAGGCAGTGATAACTTACATTGGATAAACGGGGTAAATGAAATGTTTCTGGATGTTTTTGGATATTTTTGGATAAATACACGGATTGACAGTTGTCGGGTATTATTTGTGTCTCGGTTTTAGCGATATAAAGGGTGATTTGGGGACGCGATCGTGGCGATAAGCTTGGCTAGGTCGCGTACGTGTGTTTGGCATGTTTGTGTGGGTGCGTGTACTGTAGGTGCACGCATGTATTGTAACGTATAGGCCCTAGGCAAGTGGCGGCGGTGGGGTCACACACATGTACACGCACAACACACGTACGTTAATGAAATATGACACCCGCGGAAACTTAGTCTGAGCATGCGCACATTTATTATTATAATTGTAATCCGAAACCACGCGAGAAGACGCATTACGCACGCGTTTGTGACGTCTCTATGCAAAAACGCGCATGAACTTTGCGCGCGCAAAAACGAGCCCCAGAATTCTGCTTTCTCTCTCATAAACCGGATTTTTTTGGCGATTTTCCCTTGGCTATTATAATACTCCATGAATTATTGTAATTTTCCAATTTTGCGAGAACCGAGCTAATATTTTTTGCAATGAAAGATAGGTTCATCTCGTTCGCGTATTTCACGCTTGCCATGTCATGTTTACGTGTAATTGTATAGGGAACTTACCTGCGTGCAAAAGTATAGGCTGATTGACGAGTGCTTAACCAGTTCCGTGAGAATCTTGTTTATTGCAGCTGGGGTCTTTTAAATCACAAGATAATCCATTCCAATTGAGAAGTACAAATAGTAATTATTAGATTATAAGCTTTTTATTTTATTTGCTACCATTTTTAAAGTAAAATTTGCCATTTTCCCCTTCTTTACATTAAGCCAAACCTTGTCCATCATTGCAATTTTCAGTTTCAAACTCTCTCCTGTTTGAGTATTTTGCCTTTTTGGGCATAGTTCATGAATCTCCTACCCTCAGAATTCGCAAATAATTAACAGATCAATTGTTTATTAGTAAATCACTGGAATTTAATATTAGACTCTTACTACAATCTTTAAATTAACTCCAATGCCAGCGTTTGAAGAGGCTAGACCCAAGATGTTTGTTAAAATTTACATTTTATTTTAATTTATAAAGGTCTTTATTATGATTACAATAGGAACAAGTTAAAAATATATTTCAATTATATAAAAGGGTTATTTTTGAATTAATTTTTTAAAGGCTGGTCATAGTTCTTTTCTTCATAGTGTCCTTCATCATGTCATCTTGTAGATTCAGGCATTGTAGATTCCTTGTAGAAGTCTGCATCATCATCATCAGAAGGAACGACAGTCCCCGGATGACACTCAAAGCATCTCCATACAGCTAAAAAAAAACGTACACATATAAGGAAAAATAAGCAATGTTAAAATATTTCAAAACGCAACATAATAAATAATAGATATCAAAAACAATTTGACAGATTTGAGTTTGGCATGGAGAAAAAAACCCTAGCCTATATTTTTTGGGCCTCATGTATGACCACTTACAATTATTTGCTTTGGTCTCTTTCCATTCTTTATAACCTTTAAAAAAATTCAATATTATTCTTTTTTTTCCCCAGTGAAAAACGACTTGGTCTAAAACATGAATTTATTTGTATATTTTGTCTGTAAAGTTGTGGGTAAAAATCGTGTACGCCTAGTGTAGGCCTAGACACGACTTCTACAACAAAAACTTAATTCATTGAGCCCCCCCCCCCTTTTTTTCTGGCCTTTAAATTTATAAAAAAGAAAAAAAAATAGTAGTGTTGCCGTCATGGCCGTTGGAATTACATGAATTGTATGTTAAATTCTACTTCTTAGTCTCCACTTTCCAAAGGCAACTTGCAATTGAATCAGTTTTCGTATTTTACTGAACAAACCCAAATTCCCTTTTACCCGTATAGCTCTCATTCTCAAAACTCGACTCCAAGGTGACGGTATAACCACCAGTCAAAAGCGATGTGTGTTGTGGGGGCGCGAGCTCCAACTCCCGGCACGCTGTTGCAGACTGCACGGTGCCCGTGATGCCTGGCGACTTCACCGCGTGGTCCGTGCGGTGTCAAATTTCTTCCCACGAGTATCGGTTTGCATGCAAGTCATGACATGTCGTTGTACGTGGTTTAGAATGGCAGATACGAGGTTTCTTGACTTCCACAAGACATAATAGAGGCACAAAATCCTCTATTTCCTGAAAGATTCAGCATTTCGTACTCATTCAGCCACTTCCCAGTGTACATTTCCTGATGCTCATCGCGAGTCACATGCGTTTTTGAGTCAAAATGTCGCCGAAAATGCGATATTCAAGGACGAATTTTGACGATTAAAAAAAATATTAGCTGCTTTCCCGTATGGAAAACAATGAAGTATACACCCTCGTTCACTACATTTAAGAAGTGAGAATTCCCTAAAAAATCCGGATTTTAAAAAAAAACCAAAATTTGATGTGATATCAGAAAAAACTTCGATTTTCGTGCAAAATCATACTAAAATTCAAACTTTCATAAAACGATTTTGCAAGCTGATATTTTCATAATTAAAAAAATATTTATCATGTTGATGAAGCCTCCTTACCAACTGGGGTGCATAGAAACCGCCAGGGGCGATGTCGTCACTGATATAGGGTAGTTTAATTGGTGAGTAACTTCGCGTTTTGATAAATGAATATTCATAATCCGATAATGAGGCACGTGTGTACGCGCGCGTACAGCCGCCATTTTGCGCGTGCGCAAACTAAATTTCGCGGAATGCGATACGTGAACACAGTACTGTAGCGAAACAGGGTGCCTACAGACTAGTCTAATCTGTGATTTATGTATGCGCGCATAGGTCATTAACATTAATGGCGCGCGTAGACCAATCAGCAATGAAATATGTGGCGTGACTTGAGCATCAGTAGTGCATGAACGCGCGTAAGCCAATCACCAGCGCGCATTGCCCAAATCGGGGCGCTTATAAAGTGGTGCTTGACATCGCCTAGCCAGTTGGTTTCAAGATGGCGACGGTGATGTAAAACCGAGACCTCATTGCGTATCATTTCAGCGAGAACTCGTGCTAAATCCTGAGATTAATTCAGATTTGGGGACAACGTCTGATCGACATACAAGGTGCGACCGGTGAGTTGATGGAGTCTCACAGGTTTTGTTATTGACTCAATTAACTTTCTATTATCTTGGAGAATTGGTGACAAAGATTTAGTCGGGAAATTAAGACTGACTATTTTGTCTTGATTAATTAGTGCTAGAACATAAGGGGCTAGGAGTTGTGGAACTGGGTTTGAGAGGCTAGTTGGACTGTGGTTCGGTAGTAGATTGCTTGTCGTGGGTTGGACACCATTCGGTGGGGTTTAACGACTGCGATCATTGCCGTAATCGTTGAACTAGCTTGCCTAACGAGTTACTCTTTGCTGCGTTCTGAGCACTTGTGAGGGTTACCGGTTTTGTGTGTGTGGGTTATTGCACATAAGGATTATATTGTGTAATCTTGTTGAGGGTTACCTTTCCTGGGTGAGAGTTATTGGAATTACACATTTCAACCTGCTTTGACGCTGAATCGGGTTGAGGGTTACCTTTATTGTGTAAGAGTTATAGGGACAGTTCTATCTGTGTGAGGGTTATTAGAACTGTGCTACCTCATTATAATTGTATAAGTGACTACACACGGTGCAGTTGACCGCATAAAGCTAATCTTTCTGTTATTTATTTAGTGGTGCAGTTGACCACGTGAGGGTTACGTTAGACTAAGTTACTTCAAAAGGGTGCAGTTGACCCTGGAGGTAACGAGTGAGGGTTATTGCCTATTGTGTCACAGTGTGAGATATTTACGTCCATAATATTTATCACCTCGTTTATTGTATAATATTGTAAATTATTGTAGTGATTATTGAACAAATCCATTGATGATTGAGATTCTTGAATAAATCATATCTATAATCGTCTTTGGAATCACTTGTCTCTTTGAGGGTTACTCAGGTTCATCGTGAGGGTTACCTAGGTCTGCCGTGAGGGTTACCTGATTCACCTTGAGGCCTGTTGTCGCTACTTGTATTGCTCTAGTTCCATTCAATTAATTACTAAGTCACAAAACGGTATATTTCCACCAAACGAACAGCCCCTAGGCTTAGTCCACCGTTCGTTAATAATATTGTCCCCCCCCCCTTTCGTTTGGGTAGCCGCTCACCCGTTCGTTAGGCTAATAAATATTTTTTGTGGGATAAAAGGTGTGGGTAGGAGTCCTGGGATAAACAAGACCAGTCCCCCTGGGTCCCGCCAGCCCCCCGGTTCCGCCACAGTACGCTCATCAAGAATGCCAAGTGAATTGTTTATTTACAGTCCAAGTTAGGCTTTTTACGTGTCTTGTGGTAGGATAGGCCTACCCTGAGCAGCTAGGCCTAGCCTATGTCTGTCTGTCAAGAGTTTGACTTTGAAGGTGAATTTCTGCCACCTTGTTCAACCATTGTCAGTGATTGTTGTCAACATGACTTGTTGTAGGCCTACTGTTCCTTGCTTTGCATTAGGCCTAGCCCCATTTACACATGTATAAATGTGAGCTGTGCAGTTTTGAAAGTTTGTCATGGAAAGGTTACACTCAACATTGTCTTATTTCGTCAAAACTTAGCATCCATTACAGTTTTGTTGAATGAGTGGCCTTTCCCCTTCACAAGGGCTGGGATTTTTTTGCCACTTCAAGCAGCTAGTCGGACTGAACACTGAAGAGACATTGTATTCTGCACTTGACTCCAAAGTGTCAAGAATCCTCAACTTCATGAAGTCGGTTGTTATGAGTGTAATGAGTGACGTTACTTCTTCCAGAAGAATTTGTGGAGGCCAGACCTCAGACACGTGTGCTCTGCTGCTTGTTGTGATGGCATACTTTGGTGAGCAGCTGGATAATCTTTTCATTCTGACAGAGGTGAGCTTTAGATTCATTGACTGCATTGTAGTCTGGTACCCAAACATGATGAAGTTATGGCCTATGAATTGATCTCTTAGTCACTTGTTACCCCGCCCATCGGCGGCGGAACACTTTTAAAAGTGGGGGGGGGGGGGGGGGGCAAGATCCAGTTACTGTTCCCAGAGCAGGATTAAAGCAAAATCAAAGCAAATGGGAAAAGTGTGAAGTTGGTCCGAAACGAAAGTGTGACCTACGTAATGTCTGCTAACCTATGCATGTGGACTATTTCTACCGTAATTTTCGGAATATAAGCCGCGGCTTGATTTTGTCCATGATAAAAGGTTACTGCGGCTTATACACAGGGCGGGTTATACGCTGAGCCTTGAAGAATAAAAATAAGATTCACATGTGTAGTTAATGTACTGGTATAAGAAGAGAGGTGTTGCTGAAATGAATTATCAATTAAAAAGTCATTAACAAACCGAAACCAAGGTACCGAGCGGTAAAAAGTACGGTGAAAGCTGTCTTCGACGCTTGTGACAAGCCGTACGTGATACCATGGGTGGTGTGCAGCTAGCTGCATGCTTTCCCCCGGCGGACCACACCATTGGTGGAAATGAAGGGGTGTACTTTCTTGGAAACAATAATTACCAATATTGCTGCATTAAAAAAAAAGAAGGAAAAAAGACGACTAATACTTTTCATGGTGTTCGAAACATTTCTTTATTAGATAATAAGTTGTTTAACGTCACAGTATATATATTTTTTCTTGAAACGAATTCAAGAAACGATGTAAAACTCAAAACAGGGACTAAATCACCCCTTACAAAATTAATGGATTCGTCCATAAAAATGTCAGCATCGTTTCCTACGGCGCTTAAGGATTTTCCGTGATTGCCTCTAAAAAAAATTTTTTCGCGACCCGAGCTGTTATGACTTTTTAGCCTGGAGCTTTGCGCATCTTTTGATACCAAAAACATAAAAATCGGACCACAGGTTGCCGCGTAGCGAACAATTTTCCGGCGCTACGCGCCGTGAAAACTGAATTTTCGCATATACGTCGTGTACACAGAGCAGAATTGCCATTCGTACATTGAATAATTAATTAGCCATAATTCCAAAACCCTTGGACCTATAGTCATGAAATTTCTTGGGTATGTTTAGGAAGAGTTGCTCTATGCATGTGCCGAGTTTCAAATTTTTTATATGTTTTTTTATATGTGTAGCATATTGATGAAAACATGGCTACTACTACGAAAACTACCGTTATCAAGGCAAATACTGGCAATAATTGGCAGGCGGATCTAGACCCGGGCCAGGAATGGCTACGATTTGAAAGAAATGGGAATTTCGTGACCAAGCCGCCTTCGTCAAGAGTATCCAGACCTCTTAGGTATCCATTGCATGAACCACCGCTTGGAATTAGCTGCCAAGGATGCTTTTAAGGGAGCCAGTATGGAAGAAGTCATTACTATGTGGGTCATTCCACCAGGTTGGGTCATTTGAGTAATTTGCACATAAAAATTATGAATGTGTTCAAAGTTAATTTTTGCTTATGTAGTGTGGCACTAATGTTTTCATTTGTAAAATATATTTGAATTGAAAAGTCAATAATAAACTCCCATGATTTGTACCATTTTTCTGTGGTGTCCTCAGTACTTTTACCCACCCCCAGCTTTATATTGTATAAACGATTTGAATATACCTTTAAAAACAGATATAATTTTCTCATTTTGATGAACATGCTACCGGTGCTTATTCAACTAGAGTGAAGCTTTCCCACAAAATTATTTATTTTGTGCAGAACCATTGCATTGGTAAAACACAAGAAGTTAAATTTGTACGTACCGACGTAACGCGTGGTGTCTTCCTATGCCGCTCGTGTTGCATGGGTAGTTTGCTTTTATTTACTAACATTCCGATAATGTTACTAGTTTTCATTTTGTAACAGGTAGAAATGCTGGGATACATTTTTAAAAACAAGTGATAAAAGCCATGAAATATGCAGCGAGTTTACGAAGATACTTGATTTAAAAAGTTCAACGCAAGTCCGGTGTCCTGCGTGATTTGCGTTGCGTGGGTCAGATGTGACCGCCTATTTTTTCCTATCCCCCGCTTTGGAAGATGGTTCTGGCCCAAAATGTATACCCTTTCCATATGACGTTGAGTAGGTCACATGGATACTATTACGGGCTAGCATGCTACGTGTGTAGGGTGAAATGTGACTGCTGTCCGGTTGCGTCGGTTTCGCGCGCTTCGCCAAATTGCAACGACGACGCGGACATTTTTTGGCCGCTTTTGAATTGTGGATTGGTGAGTAAATAACTGGTTTCTAGCAGAAAATATCAGCGTATCATATTGTTCTGTTTGAGTTTCGTCTAAGTTTTACAGTAATTACTACTCCAAGGAACTAGTAGGACTCTAAAAATCGTCTTTTCTTTACATTTCATGTGGCCTTTTTCGGGCGACAGTAACGTCAGTGTTCGACTGTAAATTAATTCATCAGACTACCTTTGCCGTGAAAATCGCCAGATTTTACCCCCAAAACAAACCCCACATTGCCCAACATGACCCCTTAGGGATCCAGTTCACATCGAGAATTAATGATGGTACTTAAGTTAAGTTATGATTCGGAGATAAAAGTAATATTTGCCGTTCTTTTTCGAGAGCTTTTCTTGAGTTTGTGGATGTCTGTTTACTAGTTTGGGAAGGCAATGCGGTGATGTCCCCAGTGCACGCTGGTGTGAACGTACATGTACTGGTGTGAACGTACATGTACAGACACGTATGTAATTTGATCGTTTCGACATCGAGTACGAGTGGAGAGCGGCGACTCGGTGTCACGTGATGTAT